TCTGCCTCTGCCCCTTATCAGCTCTCTCATGCGCTCTCTCCCTCTCTCTCTCAATCTCTCTCTCTCTCATTCTCTCAAATAAATAAATAAAATCTTAAAAAAAAAAAAATAGTGGTGCCTGTGGCTGGCTCAGTTGGAAGAGCGTGTGACTTTTTTCTTTTTTTTTAAGATTGATTTTAGAGAGAAAAACAGCATGAGTGGGAGGGGCAGAGGGAGAGGGAGAGAGAATCTCAAGCTGACTTCAAGCTGAGCATGGAGCCCAATGTGGGGCTCGATCCCAGGACCCCGAGATCATGACCTGAACAGAAACCGAGTCAGACGCTCAACTGACTGTGCCACCCAGGTGCCCTGAGTGCTTGACTCTTGATCATGGGGTCGTGAGTTCAAGTTCAAGCCCCACAGTGGGTGTAGAGATTACTTAAATGAACTTAAAAAAATAATAAAATAAAAATTCACTCCTTGAATCAAAAACTAATGATGTATGGTGATTAACATAACATAATAAAATAAAATTGAAAAAAAAATTCAGTCCTTGATTTCTGGTTTCTAGAAAGTTTCAGTGAGTCTAATGAAGATAGGCTCTGAAATCTGACAGATTTGCACCCCAGCTCTGTCACTTAATAGCTTTGTGACCTCAGGCAAGGGGGCTCTCAGTTTCCGAACCTGGAAAATAGGGATGTTACCACCATACGGAGATACTGGGATATCAATATTTGATCAAACACCAAATGTAATGTCCTAACATGTCTTATGTACTCAATAGCTACTTCTGTTCTTATTTTTTGGTGTTCAGTTTTCAAGGGACTGTTTTTGGACTGGGAATATGTTAATGACATACATTTAATTCAGCAGAATGAAAAGTTGTTTTTTTTTTAAAGATTTTATTTATTTGACAGAGAGAGACAGCGAGAGAGGGAGCACAAGCAGGGGGAGTGGGAGAGGGAGAAGCAGGCTTCCCGCCGAGCAGGGAGCCCGATGTGGGGCTCGATCCCAGGACCATGGGATCATGACCTGAGCTGAAGGCAGACGCTTAACTGAGCCACCCAGGCGCCCCTAAAGTTTTCTTTACAGTGAGATGAAGAAAATGTTGAGCCAGAGGCAGGGACTCAATGGGAAAATTGGTTTCTCTGCTACTTGTAGCCTATCAGATGGGGTTTTAGTAACTAGTTGATAAGATAGAACAAGGACAGGGATCTTGGCGGCTTTATAGGACGGATGAGCCTTGAGTTGTATTCTTGTGTTAGTCCTCGTTCTGTCCTGGAGCTGCCCTCTCTATTCTCCAGGGTCAAAGCACGAAGTGGGAACTCTCAGAGACAGCACCAGTCGGCAGCCAAAGACCTAACCCAGTCTCCTGAAGTCTCCCCAACAACCATCCAGGTGACATACCTCCCCTCCAGTCAGAAGAGTAAACGTGCCAAACACTTCCTTGAACTGAAGAGCTTTAAGGACAACTATAACACACTGGAAAGCACTCTGTGATGGGCTGATGGTCACTGCCAGGCTGCTGGAGGGGTCAGCAGACTCGGGTCATCTGGCTGGTGGGTCCAGGTCAGCTGAAATGCCATGGTGTCCAGAGCTCGTAGGGTTCATGCCTAGAGAATCATTCTCCAGCTTGTTCTTACAGCCCATTTCCGAGAATCAGGACTTTATTTTCTCTTGGTAACACTTTTTTGGGGAGTTGAATTCAGATGTTTTTCTTAATGTTTCCATCAATGCTTCCTTAAAAATCCTCACTTGGTATTGATTGTAGTTCATCTGCCTCTTTTTTTTACCCCTTTTCCACTATAAATAATCCTAAGAGTGAGAGTTGGGGTGGCAGGGCCTGGTGTCTTCCATGTCTACCCCTTTATACATAGATGAATGGGGACATTTGGGTTTGAGACATCTTAGAGGTGATTGGTAGGACGGGCAGACACAAGCTGGTGGGGAGGTCTAGTGAGGCCATGCATGCTACATGGAACAGCTTGCTGGTGCTCCATTTAATCCAGCGTGTGTGGAAACATTAACACAACTTCCTTGACGTGCAAGGATCTGCCCTTAGGCTTTCTTTCCATACTGTCTTGAATAAATGGAAAAGGGAATGTTGGCATTTGACATAATCCCATCCCCCCACACTTATTGGGGATGCTGTGGGACAGTGAAGAAAAGTCAGATCAATGCACTGGTCTGACATTCTAGATTATTTAATAAAATGAACAATTAAAAAAATGATTCATTTCTTTATAGTTGCCTCTTTTTTTAAGATTTATTTGAGAGAGAACGCACATGTGCACGAGCAGGGGGAGGGACAGAGAGAGAAGCAGACTCCCCACTGAGCTCAGAGCATGACATGGGGCTGGATCTCATGACCCTGAGATCATGACCTGAGCCAAAATCAAGAGTCAGATGCTTAACCGACTGAGCCACCCAGGTGCCCTGCAGTTGCCTTTTAATGAAACAGGCATAGGATATGTTCTTTGGACCTATGATCATACAGGGACCCCCACAGAAGAAACCCTAAAATTGGGACTCTGGTCCTTGCTCCTAGAATTGCCTGTGTCACTAATAGAAGGCAGGAGAACCAGGATTCGCTTCAGGTCTCCAGGGCAACAGGCCAGGTGACCAATCAAGTTCTAGGTCCAGGGTTGTTGGAGGTGAATGTGTTGCTATGACTACTGAATCCTGGGTGACCGACTGGACAGAAGGGAGACCCTGCTTCTCGTCCTGAGCCTGCGTCCCGTCAGCTTGTGGACATGTCTGTGGAAAAGACGACAAAAGTCGAAGAGGTGTGCAGAGCTGGAAGGGGGCTGGGTTGGCCAGAAGCAGACCGTTTCCTGAGGGGCCCATGATGTAACTGCTCGCAGCTCCTCCCGGCATGTGTTCTTTGGTCCGTTCTGAAAGGAGTAGCCCTCTTGCACTCACTTGCCCTAGGAAGTGCCATTCCCTGTCAAGAAGAGAGGCCCCCGGGAAAGGTGCTGGGGATGGGGTGCCGGACGTCAAGGCAGACGAGCAACTTGCTTTTCTTGCAGAGTTTTCAAAGGGTCCTGGGATTTAAGAAGATGGTTGACAGGTAATTTCTGCTTCTATCCCTTCCCTTACCCCTCAGCTTGACCTTGTCACCCACGTGTCCTCCTCCTCCCCTCCCCCCTAGCCACCGCTCAGATACACTTCATCCTTGTCTGGGGCTCCTCGGGAAGGAAACGGGTGTGCGGGGGCAGGAAGCGGCCCTTTTCAGGGACAGCCTCCCAGTGCCCACTAGGTCGTGCTACCCACACAGTGCTTTTATTGTCTCTCTTCCTGTTTGAAGGAAAATCAGATCAAGTTTTTGTTCTTTTATTTTTTAAGTAGAATGCAGTATTTGTTGTATTAATCGTGATAGGTATGCGGTATTTTTTGAGTGAATGAGAAGATGAGGCTGTATGTCTCTCCTTCACCTGGGAGCTTTTTTTTTTTTTAATATTATGTTAATCACCATACATTACCTGGGAGCTTTTTAAAACACATGTGCTCGGGTCTTAACCCAGAAGATTTTGACTACAGTGGTCTGGGATCAGGTAGGATAAGCCTGTTTTTAAAAGTTTCACAGGTGGTTAACTGAGAGCCAGCAAGGATGTGAGGGAGCAACTGCATATAATTTTAGTGGGAGTCCAGATTGATGTAGCCTTTTTACAAAGACAATTTGATAAAATCTATCAAAACTTAAGATCTCAAAATTCACACATCCTTGGAACTGGCAACTGTACGTCTAGTTTACTTTACATCCATATACCTGCAAAAGCTCTAGAACATACATACACAAGAGTGTTCTGGACAGCATTGTTTATAAAAGTAAAAAAGGGGGTGCCTGACTGGCTCAGCTGGTGGAACATGCAACTCTTGATCTCAGGGTTGAGTTCAGGCTCGATGTTGGTTAGAGATTACTTAAAAAAAAAAAAAGTAGAAACTGTCTAGCTGGTTAAATTATGATACAAAAATACTGGGAAGCCTTTACACAGAATGAAGCAAATCTGTGCTGGTAGGAAAAGTCCAAATTGTTAAGTAATACTACTTATATAAACATATGAATTCATGGTAGAAAAAAATAATACTTGCTGGTATATGATAGAAAAATTTTCTGGAAATATACACAAGAAACATAACTTCATTGAGAACTGGGGTGGAAGAAGAAAGCTTTCACTTTTCATTTAGTATATATTTTTTAAGATTTTAATTTTTTATTTTTGTTAACATTTTATTTATTTGAGGGAGGAAGAGGGAGGAGCAGAGGGAGAGAAAGAATCACCAGCAGGCTCCACGCCCAGCATAGAGCCCCATGTGGGGCTCAATCTCACAACCCTGAGATCAGGACTGAGCTGAATTCAGGAGTTGGACACTTGATCGACTGAGCCACACAGGCACCCCAGAGATTTTTTTTTTTTTTTAAGATTTATTTATTTGACAGAGACATCTCTACACCCAGCATGGGGCTTGAACTCACAACCCCAACCAAGATCAAGAGTCACGTGCTCACCAACTGAGCCAGCCAGGTGCCCCTCTTTTTTTTTATAACCCAATCTATTTATTGAATAGATTCATCACAAGGGTTCAACCAGATACTTAATTTAAAAAACAGAAACAGGGGCGCCTGGGTAGCTCAGTCGTTAAGCGTCTGCCTTCAGCTCAGGTCATGATCCCAGGGTCCTGGGATCGAGCCCCGCATCGGGCTCCCTGCTCAGCGGGAAGCCTGCTTCTCCCTCTCCCACTCCCCCTGCTTGTGTTCCCTCTCTCGCTGTCTCTCTCTCTGTCAAATAAATAAAATCTTTTAAAATAAATAAATAAAAATAAAAAATGACACCACAGATTAAGAAACAAAATGCTAGACAGAAATGAAGGGAAGGACAGAACATCTAAGGAAGAAATAAAAAAACACAGGGAGAGAAGCTACACAAGGTTCTTGGCTGGAGACCTGCTTTGAGTAGGTTTCTTGCAATACATCTTAAAGGCTATGGGTTTTTCTAGAGCTCGATAACCAAAGGGTTATCAATGTTGGTTTCTCCTAGCAGGCTCTTGGCGGACAGCAGGATGGTCCTGACATCACCCAGGGCAGACCCCTTGTCCTTCAGGATGTCCAGGCCACTGGGGTGGTAGCAGGGTGTGAGGAACTTCACCATGGGTGCATTGTAAGAGGAACCACTGGGGAACTTGAGAGAACTTCTACCTCACGTCTTCATATACTTCATCAGCTGCTCCATGGTGGTCCCCACCCGTTTGGAAAAGTCTGACTGAGGCAAGGCAGAATTCCTTTGTCCTCAGACCCCATGAGGGTCATCAGCTCCTGCTGTAGCCTCTTGCCCATGGGGCCCCGCGTGGCACCCCCCGCTGGGCTCGGCTCCTTTGCTGGCTGCAGCTGGGTCATGATTTGGGGAGGCCATCCAGGCAGTGTGGGCAGGGAGACAGGAACTTGGAGAGCGCAACTGCAACTCTCATTTAGTGTATTTCTATATGGGTTAAATTTTCTATCATCTGTAAAAAATACTTTTTTTTTAATTTCAACAGGGCCGGGGGGCACCTGGCAGGCTCAGTGAGTGAAGCATTAACTCTTGATCTTGGGATTGTGAGTTTGACCCCATGTTGGGTGTAGAGATTACTTAAAAATAAAACTCTTTAAGGGCCACCTGGGTGGCTCAGTTGGTTAAGAATTGGACTCTTGGTTTTGGTTCAGGTTGAGATCTCGGGTCGTGATGATGAGGGAGCAGAAGGCAAGCTGACAAGGTACTCTCCCAGGCGGGATCTGTGCGACGTTCCTCTGAAGCTAAGGAAAGGAAAAACAAATGGTTAACTTACAGAGATCAGTCCTGGAGGGCAGGAGTTTCCCTCAGTTTACAGATGCCTTAGTGATTTACAAGAAAAAAGCATTCTTATCAATAACCTAATTTCCTAAGGGCGCCTGGGTGGCTCAGCCGTTAAGCGTCTGCCTTTGGCTCAGGTCATGGTCCCAGGGTCCTGGGATCAAAGCCCGCATCGGGCTCCCTGCTCAGCAGGAAGCCTGCTTCCCCCTCTGCCTGCCGCTCCCCCTGCTTGTGCTCTCTCTCTGTCAAATAAATAAATAAAATCTTTAAAAATAATAATAACCTAACTTCCAGAGGGAAACTCCCAACTGTCTTAACGTTAATGCCTTGCTAGAGGGAAAAACAACCTTAACTTGACAATGGCAAGGCCTCCTGTACCTGCAGGTCCTTTTTAGCATATGAAAAGTTCTTTTGAAAACCTCCCTTTTTCTTACCTCCCCCAACTCCCAAGGATATAATCAGTCACTCCTCACTACAGGGCAGCAGCTCTTTCGGCCCACGGGTCCTGTCCCCGAGCTTTAAAAAAACCACCATTTTGCACCAAAGACGTCTCAAGAATTCTTTCTTGGCCGTTGGCTCCGGACCTCACCAACATTCCAAAACTATGTCAGTGAGATGGAGTGAGCCCTGCATCAGGCGCACTCAGTGTGGAGTCTGCTTAAGATTCTCTCTCTCCTGGGCGCCTGGGTGGCTCAGTTGGTTAAGCGACTGCCTTCGGCTCGGGTCATGATCCTGGAGTCCTGGGATCGAGTCCCACATCGGGCTCCCTGCTCGGCGGGGAGTCTGCTTCTCCCTCTGACCGTTTTCCCCTCTGTTTGTCCCCTCCCCCTCCCCCTAAAAAAAATAAAAAAAATCTTTAAAAAAAAAATTATCTCTCTCCTGCTCCCTCTGCCCCCTCCCCCTAAAAAAAATAAAAAAATGTTTTAAGTTTCAACAGGGCTTACCTGTGTGTGTGTGAGAAAGAAATGCAGATTCTTCTCTTTGTGTTAGGGGCACCTGGGTAGCTCAGTCGGTTGAGTGGCTGACTTGATTTCGGCTCTGGTCATGATCTCCTGGTCCTGGGATCAAGTCCCAAATCGGGCTCTGTGCTCAGCACGGAGTCTGCTTCTCCTTCTCCCTCTGTTCCTCCCCCTCCTCTCTCTCTAAAATAAAGTCTTTAAAAAAAAGCAACCTTGGGGTGCCTGGCTGGCTCAGTTGGTGGAGCATGCACCTCTTGATCTCAGGGCTGTGGGTTTGAGCCCCACGCTGGGTGTAAAGATTGCTTAAAAATAAAGTCTAGGGGTGCCTGGGTGGCTCAGTCGGTTGGGCGTCTGCCTTCAGCTCAGGTCATGATCCCAGTGTCCTGGGATCGAGTCCCGTATCAGGCTCCCTGCTCAGTGGGAAGCCTGCTTCTCCCTTTCCCTCTGCCTGCCACTCCCCCTGCTTGTGTTCTCTCTGTCTCTGTCAAATAAATAAATAAAATCTTAATAAAAAAGTCTAAAAAACAAAACAAAACCCAGCAAATGGTTCCAGAATATGTCTAGCTAAGGTTGAGAATCATGGTACAACAGGGGGTATTAATTCTTAGACTGGATTTGATACCCACGTCTGCCATTAAGTGACCTTGGGCAACTCAGCTGCACTTTGTTTCCTTCTGGTACAATGCAGAAACTGATATCTATGACACATGGCTATTATGATGATTAAAGGGTCTGCATATTCAACATATCCTAGGTTCTAAGCTGGTTCTAGTTACCCTTTCAAGGAGTTTGCCATCTTCTGACATTGGCATGGAGGTTCTGGGCCTCCCTGATGGGGTTTGGGTCTCCATTCCTAACTGAGCCGTCCAGCTCCTACCTGTGTACCTGGGGCAGGTGGCGAAACTCATGCGCTCGCTCTCTGTGGCAGACGACACTAAGCCAGAGGAGAAACCTGTATGCTGCCCTAAGGATGCAGGACACCATGGGACAGGAGTTGGCACTGGCCCGTAAGCAGCTACTGATGGTGAGTTCTAGCAAGGGTGACCTGAAGCCTCATCCACTACTATCCTGTGCTGAAGCCCACTGGATTCCCAAACTCTTAGTTGCTGCCATTACTTGCCCACCTTCTCTGCATTATACCAGAGCAGAAGCTTTTTTTTTTTTTTTTTTTTAGGATTTATTTATTTATTTATTTGACAGACACAGCGAGCGCAGGAACACAAGCAGGGGGAGTGGGAGAGGGAGAAGCAGGCTTCCCGTGGAGCACGGAGCCCGATGCGGGGCTCGATCCCGGGACCCTGGGATCACGACCTGAGCCGAAGGCAGACGCTTAACGACTGAGCCACCCAGGCGCCCCAGAGCAGAAGCTTTTTTCATTAAATGGCTCTTTGTGTTCAGCTGCAGGTGGCATATTCTCGAGTCCCAGAGTGCGGACTAGTCCTTGCTCCCCTCATCTCAGCGTGCAGCCCCAGCCCCTCTCTCCCAGGACTCCCAGTTCTCGGCATGTCATCATGTTTGTATCCCGGGGGGCCCAGCAGAGCTCACAGTTCATGGTGCTCTCAGCAATTATTTGCTGAACGTAGGGCTTCATCCCTGGAGAAGAAAGTGGGGAGGTGTCCCCCTCCCACCCCTGCAGGTGCAGCCTCTATGCTACTGCCTAGCTTTATGTCACAGCTAAGTCCAAATCCAAGAGGACACAGTGGGAAAGCCACCAGGGGGGGAACGAGAACGAGGGCAAGCAGAGGGCAAACCTCATGCTCTGTTCTGTCCTCCCCCAGGTCCGTCAAGCAGCCCTGCACCGGCTGTTTGAAAAGGAGCATCGGCAGTACCAGCAGGAACTAAATCAGATGGGCAAAGCTTTTTACGTGGAGAGACTCTGATGGCATCTGAAACAAAGATGGCTCTTAAAGGCTCAAATGTAGACAGATGGCTCATTCTTCAGTCCTAAATCTTGACTTTTTTGAAGTGTTTATTCATAGCCATAATCTTAAAACAGCTTCTTGGGTTTTACTCACCGCCTCTTAGATCTCACTTCCTCCGGTCTTTTCTGTCTTGGACAAAGAGCTCTGAGTGTGGCTGTTCACCCACAGGAACCGTGTGCTTGGGTGTCAGGAGGCCTGGAGTTCAGGCTTTGGGTCAGCCAGTTGCGAGACCCAGGGCAGGTCTCTCTCCTCCGGACCCGAATTCGTACCCTCCCCAGCCCTGCAAATTGACAGGGTTCCAAACTGAAGTGCCACGGGGGGAAGGCCGGCAAGATAGCAGGTCTAAGGAAGGGAGGGGCACTGAGGTTTGTGGGGAACTGGTAAGAGCATGTTAAATCTAAAAGCATTCAGATTCTGAAGAATTCTAAAAAGTACTGATTGATCACATATGTCTCTAGTCCACAGAGAACCTTACTTACAAAGATCCACTTTCCGTAAAATGAGATCCCAAGCCCGAGAGATCCCTGTTGTGGGGCCAGGAGCAGGTGCAGTGCGGGGACGCCACCAGGCCAACTTCCCAGTCTCTTCCCCTGCTGTGGGTACCCTCATTGGCCACTCGTCCTCTCCACGCTGATCTTGCCCAGCCCCCTCCACTCCAGGCGGTTGGCGCAGGGCACCACTCACATCTCCCCTCCCCCACTCCCACCCCGAGTCTGGCCCCACCCTCCAGTGTGGTTCCTCCCATGTCAGAGCCCTCTCCTTTTCTCCCTCCACATCCCACTGATGGGCACAAAGAAGCAGCAGGTATAGAGAAGCGTATGGGTTTTGGAGTCAGGTGTGGGTTCAAAGTCCTGTTTCATCCCTTAATTGTTGTCACCTTGTGTAAGTTACTTCTCTGAACCTCAGTTTCCTTTTCTGAAAGTGGGGAAAATAATACCCATCTCACAGGATCATTATGAGAATTAAATAAGGTATGTAGAGAGCAGGCCTAGTGCTTGAGGAACAGCAGGTACCCTCCCTTTCCCCTCTCAGATTTCCCTGTGGCCCAGGCCCTTCTCAGGCCCCTCGCCAGCCCCCGGCCACCCCTATGCAGCCGAGATATCACTCCATCCCACGCCTGCCCCTCTGCCCCGTGCGTCCGTCCGTTGTCCAGCTTCCATCAGCCCCACTTCCCAAGAGTCTTCAGTCAATGACTCACAGGTTCCTGCACCCAACAAGACATGGGGCTCATGGGCTGGTTGGGGGAGGCAAGCGTGGACATGGACGGAAGGTGAGGGGCACCTGGGTGGCTCAGTCGGTTGAGCATCAGACTCCTAATTTCAGCTCAGGTCATGATCTCAGGGTTGTGAGATCTTGCCCTGTGTCCTCAGCAGGGAGTCTGCTTGGGATTCTCTCCTTCTGCCCCTCCCCCTCCCCTCTACTCTCTAGAAAGAAAGAGAGGAAGGGAGGGAGGGAGGAAGGAAGGAAGGAAGGGAGGGAGGGAGGGAGGGAGGGAGGAAGGGCGGGGTGGTGACCGTGTTATAAGGGACAGAAGCAGGTGCACGTGGCCTGGGTCTGACCCCCAGCCTGAGGCTGGGTCTCCCACTCGGCCTGTCCCTCCCCCCGACCACCTCTCTCCACGTCTGTCATCCACCTGTGGCCACGTCCCAACCAGCTCTGCTGCTCCCATTGCCCAGGAGAGCCTGGCCTCCGGAGAAACAGCAGATCTGGGTTTGAATCCTGCCTCTGTCACTTACTGCCTGAGTGGCTTGGGGAGAGTTGCCTTAACTTTCTGGGTCACAGTTCCTTGTTTATAAAATGGAGATGATGCCTCCCCTCACTGGGGATTAAATAAAGCACTCTTCAGAAAGGTGGCACATAATGTCCAATACCATAATGATGTTTTCCTGCCCTAGGATACTTCTTTCCCTCTTTATTTCCCCTCCGTTACCTGGCTGCTCCCCACCCACCACCACATTCCTTCAGCAACTTCTTCATTCCTCTTTCCTCTGTTCACTGGACCCACAGGACACCCCGCCCCTCTGCCTTGATCCCTGACCTTGGCCTCTCTCCCCAGGGCTTGTCAGCGCCAGGCTGGCTCCCGTATTGGCAGCTGGCCCCTCGGGAGCCCATCTCGTCCGATCCCCTCTGCCTGCTCCGTCTGCTCTCATCACATCAGCTGAGCGTTCCATCCATCCCCTTCTTCCTCTGTGGTGCTGCCCTCCCTATCTCCTCTGGCTCAGAGGGGCTCAGCCTTGTTTGAAATGGCTACACGGAAGGCACTCCAGGAGAGCTAGAAAGCTTTTATAAGATGCCATCGATGTTTCTGCCTAGTTATGCCCTGAAGTCAAGGTCTGCTTCTAAGAAAGCCTCTCGGGGCGCCTGGGTGGCTCCGTCGTTAAGCGTCTGCCTTCGGCTCGGGTCGTGATCCCAGGGTCCTGGGATCGAGCCCCACATCGGGCTCCCTGCTCAGCGGGAAGCCTGCTTCTCCCTCTCCCACTCCCCCTGCTGTGTTCCTTCTCTCGCTGTGTCTCTCTCTGTCAAATAAATAAATACATCTTTAAAAAAAAAAAAATAAGAAAGCCTATCCTCTTGTACGTCAGTAATATTCCCAGTCTCTGCCTCATCCTTTCAACTCCTGCTCGTCGTTTCCCAGCCTTTGGTTTGCCAGGGTAGTCAAGGTTCCCAGAGAAGGGAACTAAATGTGGGGGATAAGAGTAAGAAAGATGGTCACAAAAGCAAAACTTACACACACACCCCCAGTAGGAGCCATGAAGTAGGAGCAAGGACATAAGACAACAGCCCTTGGGGCTTGGACGCCCTTTTGTCAGCCTTCCCCTGGAAGGCAGGGGCCACACAACAGGAACTGACTAGGGCTTTGGACAAACTATTGATCTAGATCAAGGGCACTGTGGGGTTGGTATATGTGTTGCAGGGGGGCGGGAATCCGGACTAATGAGAACAAGGACACATGGAACAAGCCTGGGGCTGAAGCCGAGCACCCTCCTCCCACCCTGCACTCGTACCCAAGCCCCCTACCCGCCCGGTGAGGCTATAACTTGGGCTCTTTTCTGCCGCAGTGGAGAGAAGCGTCTGCCTGCCATACGACATTCAACAGACCTAATCCTCTTCAGAAGAAAAATCCCCCAGAAAGGAACCAGGCTGGACCCCTGTGAGGGAAGACCCTTAGAGAAGCCAGGCCAGGAGTTCTCAGTGTAAAAAGCCCCAGAAGAGAAGAGCCCTAAGGACTGCAGGCTGCTTCCTGGCAGAGGGGCTCCAGAAGACATCCAAGGGGGACTTTAAGGATGCCTGGAAGACATGGGGAGAAGGTGAGAAGGAACAAGATGATGGGAGGAAGCAGCCAAGCACTCTGGAGGTTTCTCATGGCTACTTCTCCGTAATACTTAAGGGCAGAAGGAGTCCAGGAGGGTGTCAGCTGAAAGGCTCTCAGCACTCTGCTGGGGGTGATCTGAAAGGTTAGGAGTTCTGTTAGAAAGGTAAAGCAGGATGTGCAAGCCCCCTGTCCCCCGCTGCCAGAAAGCCTCAGGGCATGGGAAGGAGGTTGAGAAGAGCAGGTGGCCGGGCTGGCTCTCAGCACTGTGGTCATGACATCAGGGGGAGAAGCTCTGTGTGGGAGCCCTTGGAAAGGATAGGTGCCCGGATGTGGAGCCCTGCCAGATATGCTTCCTGGTTCAGGCGAACGTGATCCAGCAAAGGCCAGGCACTGGTAGGAGAGAAGCTGCTGCAGGGACAGCACGAACGGCACTATCATGGGAGGTGAAGAGCAAGGGTCACTGTCCTTCCCCAAGGAGACGGCTTGCCATCTAGCCATGCTTGGTGGCTGGAGGGGAGGAAGGCAGAAGACCACCGAGGCTCTTCTGCCTGCTTCTGTGTGATATGTTTGATATTGGGTTGTTGAATTAGGAACCAACTAAATATCGAACATATTCTTACAGCAGTGGGCAATTTGGCATCAACTCTGGGGCTCTGGGGCTCTGGGGCTCCTTTACTGAAACTCTTCTCTCCGGGACCCCTCTGGAAAAGCAGTGGTGGCAACCTGCGTGGAATTCAGTCTTAAGCTGCAGAGCTAGTGTGGGAGTGGGAGAGCTGGAATTTGAGTATCATATCTCCCTGTACCCTTCTCTTATTCTAGAAGGGAGGTATCTCTGATCTTCTGTCCTTGTACTTTTCCCCTCCTTATCAACACTCCCCCCCACACTTATTAACTACTGACTCCTGTCCCCGGGACCTCCTTGTTCACTTGTCCTGCAGTGAGGGTCTTTGGTTTCTCTGCTTTCCTTCAAGGGTCAACTGATGGTCTCTCTGCCCATCTACCTCTAGTGACTGGAAGCTCTCAAGGGTGGACTCCAGTTTTGCCCTCTGTCCTGGTGGGTGTCTCAGTTAACCCACTGCTGGGGCTTAGTACCACAGGAGCTATCTATCCTTGACGTAATGACTAATTAGAGCTCTCTGTATTCTTCTCTGATAGCTCTGGTCACCTTGAACAGTGCCCACCTCTCCCCTGGCATGTTCTCAGATGGTATGGTGCTGGTGCACTGTGATCAACTGCCACCTGTCAGTAACAGGCTCTGAGTGGAGGAATGTCATGGCCTGGAAGGAAGCCAGGGAGAACAGAGATGGTAACGAAGAGGTGTGCAATGCGTGTGTGGCCGTAGGTTGGGTGGGGATAAGTAGGGAGCAGAGAGCAAGAACAGTGGACAGTGGTGCAGAGCTTGGTTGGTGTGGGCATGAAAGTTCTACTTGAAGATCACTGTGGGCAAATGGAAGGCATGATCCTACCCAGATTACTCTGACCCTCCCCTGCTTCTCTCCCCGACCCCCCTTAAAGTTCTGGGAGGGCCTTCCAGATACCAACCCTCTCCGCTTACTCCATCCCTGGGGCTCTAAACGGGAAGGAATGATGTCTCCCTGCCAATTAGAGACTCTTGAAATAGCACAGTAATTTGATCGGGGGATCT